GCAATAAAATTCTAAACTTTGTTGAATGTATACATACAGACTATGTACTTTCAATCATTACTGGCATACTTAGGACAAAAAACAGAAACACTATTTATATTCATAACTGATATAAAACATGATTTTCACAATTGTTATTCATTTTATTCCATCATTGTTTTGAGGGACTAGCAGATGTACCTGTGTGATACATGGTGAGTGTTTATTAAAGGTAATAAATCATTTATATTAACTTTCATTAATCTCTCATCACGACACCACATGAATACAGCTGCAAGTCCTGAGTGATTTTTCCAATGATAATGTATTGCATAAGTATGATCTTACACTTGACACCAGCTTTTCACCTACAATAATTCAAGGGCCTCATCTTAAAAAGGTACTGTGTGTAACTCTGAAAAATATAGAACAGTTTGTGTGAATGGTAACTACATTAATGCTCAAAATTATGTCTGGAAAATAAGCTAATACAATTTTGCACTGTTAAAAAGAGACATTTGTGTCATTAGCCAGTAAATTTTTTTCTGAGATTTTACACACATACAGTAGCTATGATCTTGAGCAATTTTATATCAGTAATTAAAAAGTCCCAGCAGTATGACACTTATAAGATGACAGCTTCTTACCATTCAATGGTTCAGACCAATTATGTAAAATAATATGTTTTAATTGTATTTACTAATTGTTTTCTGATAAAAAATGAAAAAATGTTTTTTTAACAATGTGTAACACAGTTAGTTTTAGAAATCATTGCAAGTAAATTAAAACAGAACCTATTTCAATCAAATATTTTTTTGTTATATCTGGTTTCCTTTTCCATTATGACATAACATGGCTTATTTTAGTGGAACTTATTTTGCAGTTAATTTTCCTTTGAAAATGGTGTGATAGTCCAAGGGAAACTTTAGATAAAACTCCAACCATTATTTGCATATGAAAAATTTCTTTTATTTTAAGGTTGCCTAACAAATAGAAAGTTCATTAGAAAATTATTACTAAATTTTATTTTCAATTCATAATTTATTTTATTAGAAATTGTTCAAGATGCTGTATGTACCTGATGTTGATATCTTGAAAGGTGCCCTATACTGTTTGATAAGTTTGGCAGAAGGGTAAATACTATTATTCTTTTGTCATTTTCTATTGTTTTTATTATTTTGTTGTTTTAAAGTTACATTTTCTTAGCCAGGATTTAGGATGTAGTTGGTTATTTAACATTCTGTTATTATGAAGATCAGAGAACCTCCCAAACTCACTATATAAAGTTTATATACTTTTGTTATTTAAATAAGCAATTTTGTTTTTTTGTTCTGCATAATGTTGATTAGTCAATTATTGCTTAATTGATTTCTCAGTTGTTGTTGTTAAGGTTATAAAACCTATCTTTAAACATTTCTGTTGGTTTTAGGACAGCATCCAAGCTGGTGTTAGCTGAAACTTGTCATGTAAATCAAGTCTTACACATCATTGAACATTATGACCCACTATCCAGAAAGTAAGTTTTCATTGATAAGCCTGTATACACAATTACAAAATCTAGATAATTTACTACTGTACATGAAAAGTGATAAGTAAATTGGAAAGAAATGTTAGTGAAAAGAAAACTACAAGAAATACAACATTTTTAAAACCTGATACCTAGATTTTGATCTCTCGTAAGATTTCTTTGAAAAACTTTTTTTTATGCTACATGTCTAGAACATACCACAATTAGAAAAATAATTTGAAACTCAAATGTAACTTAATTTGTTATCCTCATCCGTAATTTAACTTTTGTAGAGAATATTGAAATCTCCATGCTTGAATACTTAAACATGTATAGCCTAAAAACTTGCACATATTATATAAAAAAGTTTAAGCTATCATCTATGTCTTATATATATATATATATATATTTATTTGTTTATTGTTCTGCATGTGGCCTAATATTATATGTCAAACTACGTAGGAAGCACCAAGATGTTCTCAGATGTGGTCATTTCTGAAATCTATTACACAGGTAGGCCTTAGTAAGCCATGAGTCAATGAGAAGAGCCTACAGCTAGTCATCTCCGTTCACATGCTGGCCCACATATCTGAAAAAAAAAGATTAATTTTACTATATCAGACTGAACAATGGCTTCTGTCTCTGCTGGTCAACTAGCTTTTGAAACAGTCTCTGACTGTCTGCTAGTAATAAAAATAATATTTTGTATAAAAGGAAAGGTTCACAACTTACTTGGATTTGCAATCTAATTTGAAATATGTTATAAAGAAAGATAACTGACCATATAGTTATTTTTGTGTTCTTGTTCTAGTGTACGTTTATTGAAACAGTTTTATTTTGCTTCAGGCTTGCTGCAAGTGTGCTGAGACTACTTAGTGGGTGTCAAAATGTTCAAGACCTGGTAATATTGTTCAATGGAATTCCAGTTTTACTGAGGTCAGTCAGGAACAAACATTTTATTAAATTACACTAGTAATGTATCTTTTATGGCATGTCATAACAGTTTATGTGTACTAACTCATAATAAATTATCTGTGAAAATATTTTGAGCCATCATGAATAGCTTATTATTATTTATATATACACACAAAATTTAGAGAAATTAATTTTTTCTTTATCATTGAATATTAATATTTTAATAAAATTTAAAGTATCTAAGACAAGTACAAGTGTATAGCAGAGTATATGGCAAGAATATCTGTTTTATTATGTATGACCTGGCATTACTTGTGTACTGTTAAATCTTGACTGATTGGTTATAATTTCAAAGTTTTTCAGTTACAGTTAATAAATAACTGATATTTACATTTATACAGCCAGTTTGAAGGGGAAAATTATCGTCTTCAGTGGCACATTGCTTGGAGTCTAGCACAGTTGGCTATGGAACCTAAGCTTCGAACACAAATCTACAGAAAAGGGGGCTTGCCTATTCTCCTTGGTGTTCTGAGGTTGGATCATAGCATAAAAATGTGTGATTCTTACATAATAAAATGTAATAATGTGTTATCAGTTAATTATATCACTACTGGTGTTAAACAATGCCACTTTGAGTGCACCTTTACATTCAGAACTTAATTTAAAAATATTTTAATCTTTCTCAATGAATTTTGTACCTGAAAATAGTGTAAAAATTACATTCAAGACAGACAGATGTACCTCTGAAATTTGAAAAGCCTTTCCTTGTTGAGTTGCCTTCATGCTGTTAACAACCATGTGACTAAAGTTATGAATGTTCTTGATACAATGCAGATCTTCCAAAACACACTTACCTCCACTGACACTATAGCAATTTCTTGACCTCCAGGGTTTCCACTCTTTGCCCATACAAGCATTGAAAATGCTTATTACAGTCTTTTATACCCTACTTCAATGCTCTTGGCAAATTCTAATTTGCAAAATTCTCTACCAACTTCAATGTGCGCTCTATATAGGTACTGTATAAAAGCACCTCATTCAGATAAAGTAACAACTTTTTCTTGACAAAGCATTCGGCACAGGAGTGTTGTGATTATTCACAATTTACTTTGCGACTTTGAATGTGGTTGGCATTACTACAGTTATATCTTTGTTTATACTTATAAATTACTTTAACAAAAAAATAAAAATAAATGTACTGACAGGTATGAATTATCAAGTTAATATTCCTACTATGGATGCCAACCAGATCTCTTCTCTTCCACCTCTGCTATCTAGTGTTTATCAGGGGAGGGGTCACTCTCAGTCGAAACTGTCCATGATATGATCTGTTGCGAGATGGAGACATACATGCATCCTGAGGGTGTCTCTCCAAGGGGTTCTAAGTCATCTTTTTTAAGTGACCCAGGATCAGCTGGGGAGAACTTAGACTGGCTTTTTCCAGCTTCTTCTTCTACTAGGTTGGCCTCAACAGGGGATCATCTTGATCAGCCACATCCAGCCCCTTTTATTCAGTTGGTTATGATATTTTGGGGGGTCTCTCCTATTGCATTTGACTACTCCTTCCTTGTTGGCAGAAAGGATGGCAAGTGACTACTCAATTTTTCCTCCTTCTCCTGATATTGCTGATCATGCTGGGAGATGTGCTGCTCAGTTACGTGACAGGATAGCTATGCCTTGTCCCCCACATTTATCGGAACAGCATGCTTTGGTTTATCACAGGAGGTATATTTAAATTCTCAATGGATGGATCCCCTTTTGGACCTGTGGTAGTCTAGATTGGAACCTATGATCACTTTAAACAGGTCACAGTTTTCTTGGATTTGTCTTACTCTCACGACTGTCCTGAGGTATTTATCTTTGATTCAACTTTTGTCGGAAGCCTATCAATGTTCCCCTCAGCAATTTGAGGAAGATTTGGGGATTTTGCTGACATCTACCTCAATCAGATTGTTTTCTTCAATTCTTTCTCTGGTTTCCTGGCTGGTTTGTTGTTGAAATTTATTGGGTAGAGACACTTTATTAGAAATTGTTTGTTTACTGTCTTCTGCCCCCAGGGAGTTATGGGAAGCTCCTTTTCCCCATCCCATGTTGTTTCCCGGAGTATCAGAGACATTAGAATCAAGAATTGATTTGGATCATTTCTGGTGCTAACATGGGAGTGTCAGCATGTAGTTTTTCCTGATCCCCCCTTCTTCAGTTCCCATAATAGAGTCCTTCCTTATTCTCAAGGATCTTCGGTTTGGATGAACCATTGACAACAGCATTGGTGACTATCTTGGGCAGGAAAGCAGTAGGAGCACAATTACATCACTTTCTAGACATGTGGAGTTCTTTTACCACGGATCCATGGGTACTTCATGTTCTGGCTTCAGAGTTGGTCATTCATCTTACCATTATCTGCACAACCTGTTGCCTTTTCACCTTCAACAGATCCACAGAGAGTGGAGCTTCATTCCCAGGCCATAAGAGAGTTGTAAGTCAAAAGGGCAGTAGAGAGGGTTGATCCCATTCTTCCAGGATTTTATTCCCATTTATTCATTGTACCTAAAAAGACAGATGTTTGGCATCCAATCACTGATCTATCTTGCCTCAACCAATTTTTAGATCCTCCTTGCTTTACTATTGTATCTTTTCTCAACCTACGATGACACTTTGCATCAAGGCTTTGGATGACCAAAGTCGTTGTTATCGACGATTATCTCCATATTCCCATAGCGAAATCATCCCAGAGATTTCTCAGATTTGTGCACAAGGGTCAGGTGCTGCAGTTCATGGCTGTACCTTTTAGTCTTGCATCAGCACCTTATATCTTCTGCTGAGTTGTTCAAGCTTTTTCTTGTCATCTGCATTCCTTGGGCTTGTGCACACAACATTATATGCCATCCTTCTGGCACCATCTCATCAATTATAAGAACAACAATCTCAGTTTCTCCTTTCAGAAACCACAAAAGTGGGATTCCTTATTAGACTGGAGAAATCTATTCTGTCACTGATGCAATATCTCGTCCATCTCTGTGATTTTTTCAGTAATCACTTAAGTCACACTCAACCAACCCCTATTTGGCTTGAAGCCACAGAAAGAACTGTCAGGCTTTTACTTATGTCTCTTTCTCCTACTGCAAAAATGGTTCTCTTCCTTTAGGCATCCCTCGAGCCTCTCAGTTCTTTGGGACGAGCACATGTGAGATCCCTTCAGTGGTCACTGCACGACCAGTGAATCATGCATTCCGATCCTTTGGATCATCCTTGCTCATTACTCAGGAGCAACATCATCAATTGCAAATGGTGGTTGGATCAGAACAACACTACTACTGGGGTATCCATTCCATCATCTCATCCCAAGATCCATCTGTTCATGGATACATTTCCTCAGTAATGGGGTGCTTGTCTTTAAGTTCAGGAGTTCCAGGTTATTTGTACAGAAAACGATTTTACCCTCCATATCAACATTCTCGAACTATTTGCACTACATCGGACACTGGTTCAAGGTCTATCACTCTTGAAGGGAAAAATTGTCATGATACATTCTGACAATTCCATGGTGGTATTTCAGATTTCTTGTCGAGGAGGCACACATTCTTTAGACCTTTATTTTTTGTACCTTGGATCTTCTTTACTGGGCTCATTCCTATTGTATCAGTCTTTTAGCATGTCATGTTACAGGAGTGATGAATTTAATTGCAGATCATCTGTCTTGACCCAACCAGATTCTTCCAATGAAATGGATGCTACATCATGAGGTTTTTCAGTAGATTTGCTCTCAGTTTGGGTCTCTAACAATCAATACCTTTGCGACTTATTGGAATTTTCAACTGCAGTTGTTTTGTTCTCTGATACCTCATCCTGAATCATTGGCAATAGATGCGTTCAGTCAGGACTGGACAGGTTGACATATGTATGCCTTTCCCCCAATTGGGCTATTGCCCCAGATTCTTACTATGTCTAGGTATCTTGGTTGCACCATATTGGCCAGCTCAAATGTGGTTTCTACTTCTTCGGTATCTGCAGGAATGTCCATTTCTACGTTTTCCACGTTGGCAGTCTCTGTTGAGACAACCTCAATCAAACATTCTCCACCCTGATGTTCGAAAACTCAGTCTTCATGCTTGGAAGTTATGCAATCTTTTGCCCGACACAAGGGTTTAACTTCTGAGGTTTAACTAAGTCTCTCCATAGGCCAACCACAGCTGTTTATCCATGGAAGTGGAATACTTACTGTCAGTGGTGTATTAAAAGGAATTTAAACCCTCTTCATCTTAAAGTATCTACCATATCCTGTTTTCTTCCCAAGACTCTGACAGCTAGAGAATGGGAAAGATCCTTCTCACCAATCCATTTGCTAGCAATTTCTCACCTTTATGACCACTCCGATCCTGATCGTTTTTTATGTTCTGTTAGAGCCCTCAAGTGTTATGTTGCTCATACTAACTTATTTCAAGGTAGTAGGAATCAATAGTTCATTCAATGGAATCATTCTATTTCCCATGAATTATCTCATTACCCCAAAGAGGTGGCTTCTTAAATTGATTCACATGGCCTATAATGGATTATTGTTACAGAAGAGGAATGGTTTTGCTTGTCACCTCTCACCAGATTCGTCATTAGCTGCCTGGTTGGATTGCCCTGTGGAAGACAATGTGCAGTCTGGTATGAGGACAACTCCTAATACTTTCCTACTTCATTACTTACATGATCTGGCAGTTTCATGTTCTGAGTGTTTTCAACTACCCCCTATAGCTATTTTGACCACATATGTTAGATTTTAGCCAGAGGTATTTTCCTCAATCATGTGCTCTTATATTTGTAGGGTCCCTTTATTTTTCACTGGATCCCATTCTATGGTGAGTGTTGCCCAGGCAGGTATGCTTTCTCTTTTCAATTCCACACTAGCAGCCACTTTCACTATAATTACTACAGGATGCAACAGGCTCTGTCAAAATGGGGTGTTCCATAAGACCATCTAGGCATCTACTGGATGGTATTACCTTATTATTATGGACTGCCACTCATGGACTATGATGAGTAAAGCTAAAGGGGATCCTGCTGATCTTCAGGTTGAATAAATGGGAATAGGTTTGTTTTTAAAAATGTAGGGAACTTGGTTCACCTATTGTATAGTTTCCAGATCACTGTTCCTCAGGACTCCTCAACACATATTACCACCCCAGACTTTATTAGTGGAGCTCAGGAGTCCTTACCACCTCCAGTTTGCAGTTGCTGGGCTGGCTGACAAAGGCTTTTCCTCCAGTGTGTTTGAGTGTGTTCCTCAACTCTTGCAAAAGAGGGCAAAGTTGGGGGCTCTCCTACTTGGGTCCCTGGATGTTTTTCCCAGATGTTAGTAGGAGTAGCAACAAACCTCCGCAGGAACCTACTTGTAATTCTGTTTTAGATTTGACACAAAGCTATCCGGTTGGGGGGTGCATTGCCCCTCTCTTTGATCATTGTAGGTTTTGTATATTGTTCATAGAAGGAGGTCCACTATCTCCTCATAAGTCTGAATACGAAGTGGTCCCATCCTAGGTCCTTGTTTGAGCACATGTTCCATGTCCTC